TACCTTCGCAGATGACATCATGATGGCCTGCTCCGGTTCTATCATGTACCTCTTCTCTTAAGCCGTTCTTGCCCTGCTTGTACAAGACATGCATCTTGGTACTATCCCTCAACTCTCTCAAGAAAGATGTCCATATTGTGATAGGGCTCTTGAAACTGCTCTCCATCATCTCGTTGAGCAAGGCTTCCATGCAGTCGCGCACGTTCATAGACCGGTTTGTGAAGGCATGAAATTCGACCACGTCGTTGATACGTTACTATTTATTCGTGAAGACTTGGGAACGGAAACAAAACATGTCATGAGAAAGAACAACAGGAAAAAGAAGCACACTCAACTAATCCGTGTGTGTGCGTGCATGCAGTACAACTATGACGTAATGAATATAGATACACATCACGCCCCTTCGAGATGTTGCGAAACCTGTGACAGCAACATCTATCATAAATAAAACAAAATGAAGAATGAAAACAACAAAGCAGAGACAGCAGAAATTGACATTAGTGATCAAGAGTGTCAATCATAGGACTGTCCATGATGCGAACCAATGTTTAAACGCTGGGGTGGCTTGCGCTGACGTGCGCTGCGGCGGGACGGCGGCGGCGGGGAAGAGGCGTCAGCAGCAGCCGGTTGGACAACAAGCGGTGCAGGCACAAGTGGGCGATACGGACGCAGGAATCTGCGGTTCCGCCAATAAATGCGACCACTCGGCAACTTCACTAGGTAGTCCCGATGATTACCGACAGCAACAATGACCCCACGAATAGACCACTGCTTGGTGCGCGGATGCTGAACATCCACGTGGGTGCCGAGGCGGAGCTGCGGCAACGAGCGACGAGTTGACGACTTGTCTGTGACGGAATCGTCGGATGGCATGGCAGTCTCATCACGTGTCGTCGCTTTGGAGAGCCAGGATGAATCAAACTCCTTCCAATGTGCAATGACGAATGACTGGAGAGAGCGGCCATATAGGAGCTCAGCGGGGCTCTGACCAGAGGAGCCAGGTGTGTTTCGCCATTCCAGTAGCCCTCGGCGGAAGTCATCTGTGTCAAGATTGCCATTCACGGTTGTCTTGGTGATAAGACGCTTCATGGCTTTGACAGCAGCTTCGGCGTGCCCATTACTCTGCGGGTAGTGGGGAGAGGACATGACATGGTTTACCTGCCAGCGCTTACAAAACTCAGCAAACTTATGCGAGGAGAACTGGGGACCACCATCTGTACACAGCACAGCAGGAACACCAACATCAGAGAACCAGCGACGGAATGCTAGTATCACGTCATGCGATGAGGTGGTGCGGCCAGTACGCGCGACACAGGGCCAACCGGTCAAACGATCTGCATACACAAGGAAGTCGTGACACTTGCTGACGCGCACGAGACTTAGTACGCACTAGGCCTTGGTGTGAAGCGTGGAGGTTGTGCAATACCTGAGCACGCAATGATTCAGGAACAACAATGCGGTTGCCCTTCATCACAATGCCATGGTCGACGGAGAGATGCTCACGTCCATTCCAGTACGCACGTAACGGAGCAGGCAACTTCTGCTGGCGATCAGGGAATCCAGTCAAGATACACTCAATCAATGACTGGTACGTGGCATCTGCAGCTGCAGCTTCCCGCAGCTCTGCAACCTTGAGATTCGCATTCGGCTCAGTGTCCGAGTGCACCATGCAGATCTGAATGCTGCGGCAATGAAGCGACGGGGCTTCACCAAGCTCATCAGTGGTGGAAGGAATGCCAACAGGATTCCGGGACAGCGCATCGGCGAAGGCATTTTCAGAACCTTTTCGCCAAGATGCCTGCAGCTGATAGGCTTGGAGCTTGAGGCGTAATCGTAGAAGACGCGGGTTCTCGATCTGATCCAACGAATATGAGTTGATGATCGGAATCAGGGGCTTGTGGTCGGTGACGACTTCAAATGGCGCACCAGACAGGTAGATGCGGCATTTGCGCACGGCCCATACTACAGCGAGCATTTCCAACTCGATGACAGCATAACGTGTTTCAGCATCAGACAGGTAGCGGGATCCACACTGAATAATACGCCACTGATCATTCTGCTTTTGCCAAAGCACGAATCCGAGACCTCTTAGAGCGGATGCATCGGTTTCAAGCCGGAGGTCTTGACCAACTTGATAGAAAGCGAGAACCGGAGGGGACAAGAGAGCTTCCTGCGTCCGTTCAAACGCTGCAGTGTGGCTAGCGTCCCACATGAACTCACGGGAGGTCTTGAGCAGGCCACGCAGAGGATTGGTCAACTCGGCTAGATGTGGAGTGAACTCGCCACATTGATTCACTAGACCGAGGAACGAACGGAGATCGGTTCTGTTGGCGGGTACTGGAAACTGGCGAATACCGGACGTCTTATCATCGTCGACGACCCAGCCATCAGGCGTGACGTTGTAGCCGCAGAAATGGATACGTTGCGTACCGAACACAAACTTGGCGGGGCTGAACGTGATACCATGCTCCCTGGCGCAGAGCAGAATCTCGCGCACGTGGCTGACATGCGACAGAAAGTCGTCGTCGTACGCTAGGCAATCATCGACTACCTTGCCGAGACGCGGGATGGCAGAGAACGCAGCATCAGTGCGCCGGTTGAACTCATCCCCAGCAGATATTAGACCCTGCGGGTTCCGTAGATAACGATATCTGCCGTACGGGGTGATAAACGTGGTGAATTCCTGAGCAGTGTCACTGAGAGGAATCTGCCAGTAGCCGTGCCTTGCATCGAGCTTCGTAAAGAACTTAGCAGAGCCAACTCCAGAGACAACGTCACGTGCCGTATGTACGGGATGCGCGGGACGACGGACTTGGTCGTTCAGCCGCTTGAAGTCAACTGTGAGGCGCTTCTCAGTGCTGCCCTTCTTGTCTACTATGACAATCGGATGGCACCATTCACTGGGCTCCGTCACTGGTTCAATAATCCCGTCGCTGACCATGCCGTCGAGCTGAGTCTTGATCTGGTCACGGAATGCATACGGTATTGGTCGAGCAGTGTACACACAGGAAGGCTTAGAATCATGCTGTAGCTCAATTTCCATTGGCGGACCTTCCATTGGCTTCAGACCGGAATCCGAGAAAACGTCAGCGAACTCTTGCAGGAGCTGCTCACGTGTCCGCGCTAACTCAGCATCACTAGGATGAGCGCATGACGAAACAGCTGCACAGATCTTGGGCGAAGATGCACCCTCGTGTTCAGCGGTGAATTGGACTGGCCAATCAGGTGGGAGAAACTTCAGCGCACGCAATGAGGTATGAGAGAGCAGGGCATCGTGTAGACCCTTGTACACATGGATGACGGTTTCATGCTGCGTCTCACCGACTCGTAGAGTCGCACGTATTTTGCCCAGGTTGCGTAGCGGCTCACCGGTCACAGCCTGCACACAGTCGTGGTCGTCATCTAAGTTCTCGACGAACCCACCGATCTGCGTGAGGTGCTCCTCGCCAATGGCATCAACGTCACTGCCTGTGTCTGGTGTCCAGGACAGTTGGGATGGCTGATCCTCTGTTTGCAGCATGGTCGAAACAGGTACTGTGCGACGGTCCACGCGAGACGCACGCTGTAGCTTCAGCTGTCCAAGCTTGGCAGCAGAGCTAGTCTTCGGCTGTTTCTGGCTCTTGCACATTCGCTGAAAATGCCCAATGCCATGACAGGAGTTGCACTTCTTGCCCTTGGCAGGACATACAGATTTCGTGTGGTCAGAACGACCACAATTTGGACAAGTGGACTTGGCCGCACTTGATGTCTCCCTTGGCTTAGAGTCAGCTGGCTTGTGACGTTTCTGCTGCTTGTACGCCGACTGCTTGGCAGCACTTGCCTGGAGGCCAGGACTGGGCATGTGCGCCTTGGTGTGGTATGCTGCTTCCTCCGTCCGACAGAGGGTGACAGCCTGGCCGAGCGTGAGACCATGAGTTGCGGGCAACTTGTGTCGCGTCTCATCGTTCCGCACACCAATTACGACGCGGTCGCGCAGAGATTCCTCCTTGAGGGTACGGCCGAGGCCTTTGCACTGCGCACAGCAGCGAGCATCACACGTTCCACATAGGCTGTGTGACAAGAAGTCGCATGCACTTTGTAGTTCACACAGGGCTGTGTAAAACGCATCAAATGATTCTCCAGCTTGCTGGACACGCTGGTAAAACTCTATGCGGTCCAACAGTGGATTACGCTGCCGTCTGATATACGCCTGAATGCGCTCCAGCATCAGGTCGACGTCAGCTGAAGCTGGTATGCAGATAATATCCTCTCGGATAAAACGTCGCAGCTCCTCATCGAAACACTGACGGAGTGTTGCCACTCTGGCCTCACGAGCCTGGCTGGCCAAATGCTGGCAAACACTAAAATCTCTCCAGCTTTCAACGAAGGAGTGAAAATCAGCCAGCGTCGCAGACGACAATAAGTGTGGGCAGGAAACACTGTTCACTGGCCGTGGTGCTGAGGTCTGCGAGGTGGACTGAACTGGTGCTGAGGGCTGCGGAGTGAACTGAGGCTGCGATGGTGATAGCGACCTGCTCTGAACATTCTTGAACAGATCTTGCATCGCCTTATCACGAGCCTCAGCTGCACGCATCTGCTGCTCCATAAATTTCATCAGGACACCCATTTGAGATTCCTGCTGTCGCTCGGTCGCGGAGGACAGGTCAAATCCGGTATCGTCCTGTGATTGTTCCATTACGATTAGTCACTCGTCCACGAGTACGAACAAATACACTACTAAAATAATTCAACTGAGACAGAGTTTCGATCGCGGAAACTACTACTTCCTACGGAAAAAACAACTGGGCCCGTGCAAACACTACCAGGTGCGGACACAAGGCACGGACACAGGAAAGAACAAGTTCACTGCGCCATGATACGTTACTATTTATTCGTGAAGATTTGGGAACGGAAACAAAACATGTCATGAGAAAGAACAACAGGAAAAAGAAGCACACTCAACTAATCCGTGTGTGTGCGTGCATGCAGTACAACTATGACGTAATGAATATAGATACACATCAGTCGTATCCTCTTCTCTTGCACATCTGGCGGGCATGCGTCAAGTTCGTTTTCTTCTGGCAGCTGTCACCGTCCAGGTCTGGATGACACGGCAAGCTGGCGAGAGCCATCCAGGTGTACGTTGCGTTATCTGTACCCAGGCACTTTGTCTTAAAAGCTGAACATAACACAGTACACATGCAAAGTACATTCTTGTAAGTAGTAGAAGTAGTAGAAGTAGCAGTAGTAGCAGTAGTAGCAGTAGCAGTAGCAGCAGTAGTAGTAGCAGCAACAGCAGCAGCAGCAGCAACAGCAACAGCAGCAGCAGCAGCAGCAGTAGTAGAAATAGTAGTCTGAACATAACACAGTACACATGCAAAGGACATTCTTGTACAGTAGAAGTAGTAGTACAGTCAGACCTCGGTTAACCGCACACATCCGTTGGACACAAAAATATCCGGATAGGCGAGGGAACCGGATAATCGAACACACATACTGTATGTAAGCATGGCATATGCTGTACATTTGTAACCAACTATTTTCTTCCGGATGGCGAGGGATCCGGATAAACGAGGACCGGATAAGCGAGGTCTGACTGTAGTAGTATTTATTATTTTACTTGGGTATAACAAACAGGCCTATGGCCTTCTCACAGGGTGCCCAAGGAGAAATTGTGAGCAGCTAGCGCGAAAGCAGGCAAGGTACGCTGGGATGGAATGATAGCGGGTAGTGCATTAAAGCGGTAAAAACTGCAAAAATTAATGGGAGACTGTAAAGGCCTGGCCGGGACATGAATGGGGGAAGAAATATACTACTGAATGTTTGGCCTCTGGTTTGGGAGGTAGTGTGGGTAGCATCATTTCGGGTCGTGAAGATTTGGGAGATGAGGGGACTGCCAAGGGATCTGATTCACCGAAAAGTAAAAATGAAAAGCTTAAGAGTGAGGCGTAGGCTGAGTGGGTGGAGGTACAGCAGAGCATGACTGGAGTACACACTCTTTTAAGACATACACTGCCCCCCCCCCTATTGATACCGTAGTCCATTTCAAGTATATCCGTGTTTATCTGAGTAAAATGCACATCCCCTGAGCATAATTTTCACATTTCGCAGCTGCATGTGTTTCAAAGAAACATGCATAATTATTCATTTCATTCAGAAGTTACTTACTCTGTTGACACAGGTCTCCATGGAAACCTTTCTGGCAGACGCAGGTACCGTCTTCAGCACACTTCCCATGATTCAAGCAATGGCATACTGCAGTAGAGATTGGGTGCATTCACGTATTTCCCAAAACACACAGATAGCAACAGACCCCCATACAATATCAGACCCTAAAGAAGTTAGTATCACCAACTCGTACCCATATAATCAATTATATGGTATCTATTATTGCACGTAAATAGCACAAAATAGGTTGGTGGTTTGAGTTTGCTCCACCGAGATAAGAGAGAAATATTTTCCTTCCAATGATGAGTATGATTCTAGAAATTGTAAATATACCCATGGGTCATACACTCGTTGACACGCGGCCTAAAATGACAGCATCTTTCTTTTCCCCTTATATTATATTACAGCTGTTTATTTAGCCCTTACCTTCTGTGCACTTAGGTCCATCTAGTCTGGGTTTACATTCACATTCTTTGTTCTTTTTCACCCAGGGATTCGTGCACACAACTGCATCGCATATCACACACCGAGGGGAAAGAAAACAGGAGAGTAAATCAGCGAGACACAAAAATGGACAGACAAAAAGACTGAGAGACAAATAGATGTTTTACTCAGTAGGCAGCCATTGTCCTATAAACAGTCAGAAGTCCAGTAGGGAGTCGAACTCATCATAAAAATAAAAATAAATGGGGTTCTACTTTCTTCACACATAGTTGAAACACAGACAAAGGCTGCATACTCAGGGTCACTCGACACAGCTCCAAAAAATCGCGGCGCAAAAGTGCTTTTTATTGGGGAATTTTCTGGAAACAATTGTTGATGTTGGGTCTTTATAAGGCACAGTAATGGCGTAAAATTCAAGACTTTGGCCAGAGCATTGCATATGTGCCATTTTAATAATTGTCAAAACGGCCGCACATGCTCGTGTCGGAGCTCTAGAGACACTGTCCAAAGTGAATCATGGCGAAGACCTAATGTTTTCATTACAACATTAGCCTGCCAAGGCGGTGGAATGCAAAATTCCATAGTACGTTAGTATTCCATAGTACGTTTCCATGGTAACCATGGGCTATTTCCATGGAATTTCATAGTATACCTTCTGCGATCACGTCTAAAATCTGTGGACTCATTCATTAGCCCCATAGCAACAGTTTAGGGTCAGGTTTTAGGTCAGTGTCATAACAAAGACTGTGCAGCATGTTTCTGTATGATGGTCCTACCGGTAGGTCCTACGGGTAGGACCGAGGTCTATGCAAGCTATCAATTAAATTACACAAATGTTGGCTCAGCTTGTCTTTTCAATTGTTTTATTATATAATTATCCGTTGGTTTGTTGAAACGGAAACGGCTCACACAGTCACTGGATGCCACGTCAACATGGAGGTATGCTTTGGGAATCCCATAAGAGCTGTAAAAAATATTCATTCATACTTACCCGATTGGCACTTGTTACCGGTAAATTCTTTCGGGCAGATGCATTTACCCGTGTCGTCACAATGACCTTGATTCAAACAGTCGCATGCTGCATCAGCCATCGCATACGCACAAACAAGACGTGAGAAAGAGGAAATGATGGTATGTTATAGGCTATTCATACTACGTTACAATACGCGTGACGTTTTGGAGCACGACGTACAGGCATACGTCGTTTTCATGCAGGTGCATTCACACAGGCACTCAGACGCTGCTCATACAGCTGCGTGTTCAGCTTCTCTTGGACACAAACTGCTGGGAACGACAGAACAAAACTCGGTACAGGAGTCTGGATACGTCGTCTACGATTTCGTACCAGAGGTACGATTTTCCCGCTACGTTCCATGTTGTCATGACGAAAACGTCACGTACGCCACGTTCTGACCGTAGTGTAAATGGCCCATTAGGGGCCGGCCGTAAGTATCGATATTTACAACTCAAACCCACCCTATACCCCTCCTCTCAGAACGTGCATATACAGCACCCTGTCACGCGTGTGTCAATGCTCCTACTTCTCTGGACATGTTTCAATGTATCCTGAAAGGAAATTGGTCAACCCGTCCCAGCTCATAACAGAAATAATTTGTATTCAAAAGAATAACCCTTGATATCTACGAATGACCCCATACTCAATGAGCAGTGGAAATAGTGAAATTTGACCACCCATAATGACCGAGCAGCTGACACAGAGAAAATGCAAGCAAGCGGTCACGTGTTCATGCGTACTCGTACACGAGTCATATGGTCACCATGCATGCAGGGCCAGTGCATGCTACAGCTTTCACACCAAGGTTCAAATCAAAGGTTCAAAGGTGCAACTCGAGTGACAGGAACGCTGTCAACGGCGTAGCCTGCAGGCACGGCGACCAGGTGACTGGTGTACGCATGAGCACGTGACCGCTTACTCACCCTTGATGGATTGGGAATTTTTTTAGACTGGGAATAGACACCCTTATCAAATAACAGTAATGCTATTTTTACGGTACTCGCACCTTCATCACCCAAATAGCGCTGAAGCGGCAGCGTTAAAACGTTATGGAGGCTGATTTATCGCTGTGACAAACGGTATGCTTTTTGGCCAAATGTTGCATAGTCTGTACCCATTTCACCTTGTATCGCGTATATTGACATACATGGTTGTACTGCGCGAAATAAAAGCTATTCTCGTGGCAACAGCGTACTAAAAATAGCGTGCATCTTGCTAAAGGTCTAACCCAGATCCCGGTATTTTCCCCCTTGCGGTAATACCACTACAACATAACGTTTTTTGCTAAGGGCCTGGTCAGAAACGAAAAAATCCTGTGATTATGATCCGAATCTCCATAGTAACTTGCCGCCAGAGCGGCAATACCATGCTTTGCTGCTCCAAACAGGAGTTTGACGCTGATACGCCATTGACGCTGATATTCACTGATTTTTTCATCTCGATATCAAGGGAGCTAATTTGGCCACGGACAACAACAAAACTCATATGCATGGTTGCAAGGTGTTGGCGATCCCCAAGGTGAAGGAATTTGACGTCGATCGCGATTCCAAATTCTGGACGCTTTTCTTTTTTAGTCAGGCAACCAGTCTGACCAGGCCCTAAGGGTGTGTGTCTAATAAGGGCCGAACGCTGCACTGCAGCCTTTTCGGACCAAAACCAGTCTACTCAGCACCCAAAAGACTACAACATATGGGCCAATTGCGGTCATCCGCGCTTTTAGAATCCCCATCTAGTACGGCGCACTCACCCAGTTTTGTTGGAAGTGCGTGAATTCGATTGGGAATAAAGGAGGAAGGGAGCGTCTCAGCTTCCTCGGACCAAGACCATTCGACCCAGAGCACCCCGAAGACTACAACTGGTGAAAATTTGATTCAGGATTCAGGGTATACTTTCCTTCAAAAACGGTCATTACAGGGTGGGGGGGGGGGGCTATTATTCCAGAGAAGACTTCTGATCGTGTGAGCATAGTAGCATTCAAGTTGTGAGAATTCTCAATGAAATACACGGAGTTGTATGTGAAACTGCAGGCTACACACACGTCAGGCATTACATACTCTAGCTATAAATAGTGGTCACATTACACTTATGGTATCCCAACTCCTTAATTACCAGATTTTGTATGCTCCGATCTATTTCCTTAGCCTATCCTCGATTAACTGCTCCCTCTACATAAAGTTTTCATTTCATTCTTCTTGCAGGAGATCCCCTCGACAAGCCCAAAGCCTTTAGGAAATCCAAATATAATAAAATTCAAATACATCTGGCAGATCTCTGCTGTTTTCCCGCTATCTTGTTAGTGTTCTTCACCTTCTCTAAAATGGGTGTACTCAGATTATCAAACACGCGCACGCTTGCACACACACACACACACACACACACACGAATTTTAAGGCCTGCTGTCTTACCCTTTTCACATCGTTCGCCGTAGGATGTGGTGCGGTTACACACACAACTCATGTTTGCTGCAACAACACCTTTGTTCTCACAGAATTCTGTGCAGAAAAAGAATACGAGCAGCTCAATTGCGTTACTCTTCTGCAGTTTATGAAAGTAGAATGCCAATTATCTAAATGATTGCTTATACAAAAAAGTGTTGTTCAAGACATTTGTGTTATGTTCCCTGACGGAAAAGCATTCTCTCTCGTTGAATCCTTATACATGCTCCCAAAAACGATCAGTCAAAGGAGGTTTCTTCGTTAGGTATTCCCACCAACAACAACAATCAAAATTTGAGCATGCACAATGCATGGTATGATATGGGGGGCAGGGGAGAGGGCAAGGACTTTTGCTACAAGGACATGTTTGAAAAGGACATGTTGAAGCAAGACACAGGGATAAGGGACAGGGAATGGCTATACTGCTTGCGCATAGCCAGTCATTTATTATCGCCTCACTTACTGACACAGAGGATCCGGGCTTGCTCATCGCTTGGGGCGTTGTGAATCGTATGACTTCCGCTGCTAAACGTTACGGTTCTGTAATGGTGTTCGCCATCCGCCGAGATTGGTTCGACGTGGAAGGGCTTGGTGCCGTGATGAGGGTTATGCTCTATAGGCAATCGTTGTAGCCAGCGCTCTCTGAATACATGGCCATGTGCTTGCAGCCAGTCCACGGTTATAAAGTTTAGTCCGTACTGCTGACAAGCTTCACGCGCAAAAGGCTGGGTAACGGCACGTCTCGATGCCGGTGTTGCTGCGACGTATGCTGAGGAGAAAGCATGAATCCATTTAGCTGCAGGACAACAGACAGGTATAGAGGCATTTGGAGAAACATTAAAAAAGCACAGCAGGAAGCAAGCCTGAAGAATGGGCTTCCTGGAAATTGCTGGCACGTTCCATGAATTTCGACATATTGGATAGGTCAGGCCCCCGAAACAGTGCATACCGTATTAATTAGAAAAGCAATCCTGTCAGCTTTTCTCTTATTGTGGTCACAATGCAAGACCAAACGGCACCGATATTTGACACGTTGTCTACGTAAGTTTTTACGTAAGGTGCTCGGTACGTACCTGGACCCGGGAGCACTACTCCATGGCTTGTACCATCGCGTGGCCGGTGGCGTGCATGGCAGACATTCTTTTGCAATCCGTTTTCTCAGTTGTACGCACTACGCCATTTCCCGCCTCAGATCTGCGCCAAATATGATGTAATCACGGAATTCCGCCGTGACAGACACCCATAGTAGAAAAGGCCCCAAGCTGCACACTCTGGGGGGTTTATGTACTCTAGATATCATTCATACTCACCAAAAGATGTGTAACATTTTATTGTTATGGTGTGCCTTGTTTATCTCTCAGTACCTCCAACCATAGCCTTGCCCCTATATCCTCAGGAGCATCAGTGTTCGAATCAACAATTTATTCGTTTACAATTCTATAGTACATATCGTAAAGTCGCGGATAAAAGCCGGGCTTATAAGCGCATAAGCCGCTTTCTGCATGAGGCTTTAATGCAAACCAGGCTTGAATGCAAACCAAGCTTATATGCACCACACTTGCATAGAAGCCAGGCTTCTACGCGCGACACGCGTAGATCTACCACTGACTACAGGTATGGTGGTATGGTTGTTGTTGTTGTTGTTGTTTCTTTATTTTACTTCACCATATGAACAGGCAAGACTGCCTTCTCACCGGGGCTATTGGCCCACGGCTCTCACAATATGATGAAAATGTTTAAAATTTGTATGAAGAAGAAAGGAACGGAAAAGAAGATGAAATGAAAGGAAAGAAAACAGTAGGTATTAATTTTATGAAGGGGGGGGGTATGAAATGGGTATTATCATAGTTGATGAGAGAAGTATGATATCCAATATTATTGTTCTATAGACTATTTAGTACGGGCATTTCATGAGAGTCATGCATGGGCAAGGCAGAATTTGGACTAGGATAGAGGACAAGAACATTATTGATGAGCATTTGTTCAGGCAGAGTCTGTGAAGAAGACATAGTAGGCACAACATCGGAGAGCTAGTTGAGGAGGGAGATAAGATCATGACCAGACAGCAATGCTTGAAACGTGTGGCGTACGTCGCAAGCGCGAATATCAGCAGGGAGAGAGTTCCATGTGGTACTGCCAACGAAGGCGATTGAGCTACGGCCTGAGGGACCAGGTAGGAACGGCACTCTGAGCAGCTGGCTGACCTGACCACGCGTGACACAACTTCTGTCCACATCCGTGGCAATGAGGGAGTAGTAGGATTGGAACAGTGAGCTGGCTCTGCCATGAAGGCAGCGGAAGACGAAGAGAAGCAGACGTTGCACGTACAGCTGGTGGAGCTGAGGCATTGATAGTCTGGCAAATAGGGGAGCAGTGGGGGTCCTTCTGGGGAGTTGGAAGATGGCTCGTATGCCAGACTTAGCAATGCGTAGCAGTCGATGCAGCAGCAGTTTGGATAGAGCGGGAAAGAAACAGTTTGAGGCATAGCAGAGCACAGACTGGATCATACTCATGTACCAGGCCCGGCGGGCATTGAGTGAAAGGCACCGTCCATGGCGCCAGAGCTGCCCGATTGTAGTAGCAGTCTTGCTGGCAATAAAGTCCACTTGGGGCTTCCAGGACAGTTGGTCATCAAGCATGACACCGAGATACTTCGTGACTGGAGTAACATCAAGCACTGTGGTACCACACTTCACTTCAGATGGTCCGTCCAGACAACCACGGGGTCTCACAAACATAACTTGGGTTTTACTGGCATTTAATAGCAGACCAATGTTGTCCAAGTACTCAGCGAGTCGTGTTACAGCGTTAGAGAGAACAGAGCACACTAAATCAGGCTGATAGTCGGAGTAGTCCAGAGCCACATCATCAGCGAATTCCTGGTGGCATACACTACCTGGTAGAACTGACGACATATCACTGGTGTACAGTACAAAAAGAAGAGGGCCCAGAACGCTGCCTTGAGGCACTCCTCGGGAGCATCCAACATATTGCGAAACTGAGTGTTCCACCCGTACACACTGCTGCCGCTCCGAGAGATAACTGAGGAACCATTCCAGTGGTGTGTCACAAACGTCAAGGTCAAACAGCACATATGGTTTTACTATGCACTGTACATAGCGCATGCACTTTTGACCTACCCGATCCGCGCTTGCATAGAAGCCAGGCTTCTACACGCGACAGGCTTATATGCATTTGACCCGTTTGATTTTCAGGCTTCTATCCGCGATGTGCTTGTATGCAAACCCGGTTTTTAACCGCGACTTTACGGTACCTTTTATTCCTCCTTTGTCTCAAAAGAGACAGAAGCGGAAGGGTTAGCATTTGCTGCCTTGTTCTATTATTATTATTATTATTATTATTCCTCCTTTGCTGTGCTGCTTAAAGCGGGATTCACAGAAGCTTTTTTGCGATGCGACGCGACCTGCGACGGACGCGTGCGATGCGAACTTGCGAAATACCATTCACAGAAGAAGTCAGTGATGCGACAACATCTTGCTGATTTGGCTACGTCACCGTGATATTCGCGCGGTTTGATACAATTTGTACAAATTTATAGGCAACTCTTGAACCTTTGTACAACTTTGCTGTAGAAAAGGTCACAATTGTACGCCAAATCTCTTGTCGCATCGCATCGCATCGCAAAAGTTGAGCCAAGCTCAACTTCTGCGATGGCCCAGATGCGGCAGTTGCGTGGAGTGCGACATGGCTGCGATTTGGGGTTTCGCGCCTGTTGCATCGCGTGTCGCATCGCAAAAAAGCTTCTGTGAATCCCGCTTAAGGGTTGGTTCACATACGCAAAATCGGTGCCGCAAGAGATCGCAAGAAATCGGCGGTGAGCCAGCTCCCGACCCGTTGCGCATACGGTGCGAGTACCAAATCTACTACAAAGTAGTACAGAATGCGCCCAAATACTACGACAGATTTGCCAATTGAAGCCTGAATTCTTTGTTCTTCCGTAGTTCAATGCCGTTCGGTGATGGCCACTCGGTGCTACCTTTTACCGGAGATCATGAAACTACTTCTACACGAATGGACCTCATCTTTAGCTTCAATTTAGGAAAATTTAGGATGAGTCTTGGTTTGAAATGTTGACAAAGTCTGGCTCCCGGCACCGGCGATCACCGGCGTGAATGGTTCACAGACCACTGTTGGCCAAATTTGTATGGGGCAGATCGCAAGAGCTGGGCAATGTCCAACTTTGCCGGCGGTCCCCCGGAATCTGAATTTTGCAGGTAAATTACTGATGAGAAAGCTGCAGAAAAGCTACTTTGGGATCTGTTTGAACACATTGCTCTTGCCAGTCAAGGCGAGTGAAGGTCTCTCCAAGATTCTTCACTCCTAATCAGTTGGTGGAAAAGGAAAGTAAAAAAAGCAAAGGATAGTGCAAAAAGTACTCCTTTCTGCATATCCTTTACAAGGAGGATGAAAAACATGCAGAAAATGCCGCAGATTTTTGATGTTACTGCAGAAAGTGGCGCAGAATTACCCTCTTTTCCCCGCGGATTTTATTTGCCGCGGAATTCAGAATTCTTGTCCGAGTTTTTCCAATGGGACAGGATAGTCCATGCGATGGCATTTCACTCTGTACATAAAATGGAATGGGCATTGTTCCTTCACTGGTTACCCAGTTTTTGTCCCCGGTACGACCTACAACAGTAAGTCGCCCATTAGAGCGGGGAGCCCGGGTTGTGAGGCACACATGCTGTTGTTTATTTCTCTGCGTTCATGTCTCCTACCCTGTTAATGTCCCTACCCTGTGCTTTCACTGCTTGCCCTGCTGCCCTGAGCATTCCCCCATGTGGCTAAAAAGGCAACAGCCTACCTTCGCAAATGACGTCATTAAGGGTTGTTCCAGCCCGGTCAAATACCGCTTCATCATGGTTGTTTTTGTCCTGCTTGAAAAGGACATGCTCCCCTCTGTACACGTGCGACGTCCATACGATGATAGTGCTGCCGTAAGTGCTCGCCATCATCTTTTGGAGCAATGCTTCCATGCAGCCGCGCACGCCCTTGGTCCTGTTGGTGAAGGCGCTATAATCGATCACGTCGTATCCTCGACGCTGGCATAAACGGCGGGCTTGCCTCAGATTGGCCTTTTCCGTGAGGCTGGGCTCGTTAGCGTGCGGATGAACCGGCAAGCCAGCGAGAGCCATCCAGGAGTACATTGCCTTATCTGTGCCTGGGCAGATGGTCTTGAGAGCTGAACACAACACAGTGCATATTCAGAACACAATCAGGTACTGTGCAACTCACCAGGCACATGCTCCGATAAGACATACACTCGAGCTCAGATACAAAATTTGAGAGAACACTTTAAGGGGCCATCCGGCATTATCGATAATTTTCACAAAACGAAAAAGTATAATTATATGATAGAAAACTGCTATTCAAACTGACCACGATTACCCAACCATCAGTCCCCTGCAGCGTTTCAGGAAATGTTCCATAATATATGGACTATCCAAGGGCTCCCCACACCGGAGCTCGCGCTATTCCGCCGACTTTACTTGACACTTGACTGACTCACGACTGCCATCCAGAGCACACGAGAAGTCCATCGAACCTTCGACTCGGCAAACCTGCAAGAAAGCACCACTCCCTGCTCAATACACAGTGTTTCGGGGAATTCACCCCTCATCAGTTGAGCTTGAGTAGGCTGAGGAAGATTGTGCCTGAAGAGCACCACTTATATAGTGCTCTCCAGGCACAAACATCACCAGGGATACAAACTTACAGAGACGCTCCGCGGAATAGCGCGAGCTCCGGTGTGGGGAGCAAACCATTCTTACAAATCATCGCCGAAGTCGCTACCACTACTTCGTATCCAAGGGCTGTACTTAAAATAACTTTGCGTCACCAAAATGAAGAAAAGTGGACCCATGAGCCAATGCAGAATGGTTTTGCCAATATGGATGATCGCACAAACATGAAACTCGAATCGCAGCAAATGTAGGCCTTATTCCACCATTATTTGAAGCCAATAGGGAGGCATATCCAGGGTACTATTACTGGAATACTCCACGGCAAATACATAAATGCATATTCCAATGCAGTCCATTCATACACGATAGTCCCGCTGGAAAGTCAAATTTTAGGCCGGATTGAGACTATCCACAGTTTGAATCTGGGTCCGGGATCTGCTTCTCCATACATTTTGCCATGGCCTACCTGGCGCAATTTTGAACACCTTGCCTCGATCTCTTATTCTCTGTCCTTAGACGTTTTGGCATCAGATGTGGCAAGGGATCAGGCCCCGATCGCACTATGTCAGAAATAGTGCGTCAGCGTCTGAATCGTGAATTTTTTCCATGGCAACTGACGAAAACGCGGGAAATTTCAGAGTCAGACGTAGCAGCGCCTGGGGCAAGTAAATCGGCTGGGTTGCCACTGCCGCTGCAAGCACTTGCATGAAGAACACAGTCCCATGAATAATAGTGTGCCGTACTACACTCTATCATTGTAATTTGGCTCGTCACAGAGTGGTTTTGTAAAGTGCGTCAGGCCCCGAAGGCAAAAGCAAAAATGCAGTGTTCACCGGATTCAAACTTATCATAGTGCCACCAAGGCCAGGTCAGGAGTAGAGGTCAGACCTGATCAAGATATTGGGTACAAGCTGTACATTGTGACAACTTACGAACACAGGGGCTGGTAGCGTTGCCACTTTGATGTTTGCCTTTAGGGCATTCTGCGTTACATGTGTCGATTGCCAGCACCACGAGCAGCAAAGAAAAGAGCAGCTTTGCCCTTGGCGGTATTCTCCCCAGCTGTGAAACACCACACAGAGAGACAACTTATTATTGGAAAAGATTCTAGCGAAGAGTTTTCTATTCGGCGTATCATCTTAATGTCTGCAAATTCACACACACACACACACACACACACACACACACACAACACACACAACACACACAACACACACAACACACACAACACACACAACACACACAACACACACAACACACACAACACCAAGACAATGTTCAATGTCCAGTGCCACGCTGGTCTGACAGAGAGGTGTTTTTTTGATCTAGCTCGCAAGTGTCGAGTTTCTGAGAGAAAACAGCAGTAGTAGGTGTAGTTACAATGTAGGTCACCACTGGTGCGCGGTGGCCTCAGTACTTATCTTTCCTAACGTCATGCCTTACCTGGAGCGACAGTTGCAAATGGCCGGAAAGAACTCTACTCTCCTACCTCTACCACGAGCAGGCAGAAATCCAAAGCCTCTAGGCTCAGCAAAAACTAAGTTACTTGATACCGTCAGCCAGCTCCTTGTGCACCGCATTTTCCACGTACTTAGTCGGACAATTCTTGTCATAATAATAGGATAGGAAAAGCAAGCGGCCAGCTAAGCTTCGACGAATCCTCTACCCGTACTGTCACTCTGGTCACACAAGAACTTGGCGTCGTGACGCTATACAGGTAGACTCCCTCTAATTCGAACCTCAAATTGCCAGGCCCTAAATTCGAATTATCCGGAACTTCTAATTAGCCAAATGCAGTCCCATGCACTGATATGTACGTCAAAATGCTCGAAATTGTGTCCTGATTATTTTTGCACATTTTATTTGCATCAACGAAACATAGGTGATCATGAACAACGAGATCATGACAGTTCATTTCACCAAAACACTGGATCGACACGAAGTCATTGGATATTATTTTCATCTTCTACGAAGTTCTGTGAAGCAGTTTTCAATCGCTGCAGTTGTCCTGAAACGATTTCAACGCAAAAGAACAGCGCTGCCTTCTCTGCGTCATGAAAGCCCGTCGGAGAGCAGCACGTCGTTCTGAAGAACGGAAGTGGAGCATAGGCATAGGCAATTTTTACGACTTCCAGTTGTTGTTCAGTCCCAAACTTCTTTGCTACAAGCCATTGAGATCCGCGAAGGGAGCCAACCACCTGGAAGAAGTCGTCTTCAATCAAATCTTTGCACTTTGCCTTGCACGGGCTTGGATCAAATTTCGAGAGAAGGTGGGTTTCTTGAACGCTATTGTCGATCCTGGAGCGGACCAGGGATCAATTTTTGAGTTACTCTTGGCTAGAGAAGGAGAAAAAATGAACTTCGAATTACGAGTAGAGCAACTCCATCTCACTTCGAAATAAGCGCTCGAAGGACATAGTCACTGTACTGTGAACTGCTCTTCTGTACGAAGGCAGAGTTCGAATTATCCATCGGGCGCACTTTTCGTACTTCGAATTATGCGTTCGAATTTGACTTGAAGTGACTTGCAGAAGATCGGTACGACGAAAAAGTTCGAATTACACGGAATGTTCGAATTACACCGTATTCGAATTAGAGGGAGTCTACCTGTACTATAATATAGCCAGTGCCAGTGGCCGGAGTGGCCGAGAGAGTTGCACTTTTTGCAAGAACAAAAATAAACTACATTCAATGATTGACTTGTCTTTTAATGTAAAAACGGTGGAGACGATGTGCAATAAAACGATGAAAATATGAAGAAATGGTGTAGGGAAAAAATATGGATTCAAACAAGTTTTCGTACAACACTCATCAGGAATCGTCCATTTTTGTTTCAGTGTCCTTTAGTACAACGACGATTCCTGATGAGTGTTGTAAGAAAACTTGTTTGAATCCATAATAAAATATATTACTTTTCCCTACACCATTTCTTCATATTTTCATCGTTTTATTGTCTTTTAATAATAATAATTTAATAATATTATTATTGTCTTTTGATAATAATAATTATTAATCTTTACTTATAAAGAAGAGGCACCTGTGACGTGTGTTTGTCTGCGTGTCACGCTCAGGCCTTGCTGCGGAGCAGCGCTGCCCTGAGCACGCGAAGCGTGCGAACATGTACAGTGTAGCTAGCGGCCGCAGAAGCACGGAGCACGCGAAGGGTGCGAATCGTGTAGCTAGCGGAAGCAGCCACAGAAGCACTGAGCACGCGAAGCGTTAAGCGTGCGAATCGTGTAGCCACCACCACGTGCTGAGTACGTGTGCTGTTCATGTACTTGCTTCACCCGCATGCCACGTTCGGCCTGGCCGCGGGTGCTGCTAGTAGTCCATAAACACTCTTGATAATATTAATAACTATTCTAGTAGATCTAACTAATACTTGTCGTGTAGATCTACTACTACTACTAGCACTAGTCTATGGCTAGTGTTAGATGTAGATCTACATGTAACGAACTCTGCTAGCTGCGCCTCGCTTTCCTGCGCTTGTAGTAGCCTACAAGTCATCGAACGCCCAAATTGACTGCATCCTGGACTCATTTGTTTGTTTGCTTATTCTATTTTTACTTCACCAAGTAAACAGGCATTTCTGCCCTCTCACCAGGTCCGGAGACCTAGTCCCAACAAAAATGATGAAGAGCATCCAGAACAGTAAATAATAATTGGTGCTCTGCTGTGGAACGCTCTCCTCTGACTTGTGAGGTCCGCACAATCACTCGGCTACCTGAGTTTAAGCATACATGTGTGCCATACGCCTGTAGGAAGACACCAAACTACTAAAAGATGGCATTTGAAATAGCCTTTATATGGGTAGCGACTTCGGCTATACAATGTCATTGAGGACTTGTGTGTAGCTCCCTACGTGGGAGATCACATGTTTCCTACCGTCTGGTCTTGACACTCAAGGTCATGCCCTGCATTACCAGGATTCTCGCCCTCTCCTATTTTGCATGCTTCGTACTAAAAACCTTACACACACCATCTTCAATTCAAGTAGTCTCTTCGCTGCAAATTACAATAATTCTCAATCAAATTTTCGGCCAGTAGCTGTACTAATGAGGTATGTATGGCCGAAACAGCTTGCTGTCTACAGCATTGGGTATATTTTGAAGTAGATACAGTAGATATGAAATCCAATCACAACTAAAAGGTCTTTGCGAACTTGACTCCTTGCGTCCTGGTAGACAAATCTCTTCTGTGTTTACTAGCACATTGTTGCTAAATTCATGCCTAGAACATATTATTTCCTGAACTGTTTGAACGTCTCCACCTGTCTCTGGCTTTGAATACCAGGAGACGCAAAGCACTCAAAATGAGCCATCAAGGGTGCACACGATTTTAATCTCTCTTTTTCCACAAAGCCAGCATGCTAAGAAGCTGCTTATTGCCATCTCTCACTTCTACAATTCTGCTTGATATCTTAATCTAGGAGCCGTGACATCATTCATGACCCACAGGAGGAAGGCAGCGATGCCTGTACCTAAGGTAGAAAGTAAAATGAAGATAACAAACCTAACATAACCTGTCTCTCTGTCTCTCGCTCTATTACATTCTCTCATTCTCTCGTTCTCTCTCTCCCGCAGGAAATGTACACGTATAGCCCAATGTATGCCCTACACTATTCCAACTTAAACGTTATCAACAATAATGTTATTCATTCACATGCTTTTCCAAAACCTATCCCATTCATACCCGACTCAGGCACTTACCATCGGGAATACCATCCTGTTAGACGATGGGTGCATGGGCACGCATGCACTGCCGACGCGACTAGAAGACGTCCTCCGCAATAGGTCTCTGCTGGCCACGAGCAGAATAGAGGACGATGAGATCTACTGTTTCTTCGTGTGTCCACTGCTTGAAACCTGCTCCGAGCCTTCCCAAGAAGAGAAGTGGGTGTGAAGAAGTGGATGCTGTCTCCTGTCAACTTGCCAATACCGGTGCTTCCACTACTTATCGCTTGGAGCTTATCACTCCTCAGTGACTCATTCGATCACGATGTCAACTACTCCCCCCCCCCCCCACCTGTACGCGTACCGTATATCCCGCCAGATGCAGAGCACCCTACCTCAGCTCAGCCACGCCTCGAGGCTTGGGTCCAGGTGGGGAGAGGCGGATGGCCTGGGCGAGTACTATGAGTCGTACCAAGAGTTTATGCACTCTTGGTCGTACTTTCGTATTTTTTTTCATGATGAGAAACCTGACAGTGTGAGGTAAGAACACGAAACGCAAGAAAAAGGCCCAACCCTGCCCTGCCAGTCATTCGGTAGGTACTACCAAGAGTACATAAATAGGTACTCTTGGTACTACATTGTACATGTACATGAACTCGGCTCTCTGTACATGAAGAACATGAAAAAAAAAAAACCCACCGTACGAACACTGTGGGTGCGTCTCGTACATCGATCAATGCAACGGTCAATAGCTGATATACCAAGTAACGTGCAACCAAGATCAAGAGTACATTATAGCAATAAAAACTGCTTTATGGCAGTTTTCTAAAAAAAGTTATTGTGTTCTAGTCCATGGACCCCGTCTAAAAAGTAAGAAATTAACGAAATGTGATAGCCGAAAATTAAAATTTCACACAAAACCTCACAATAATCACAACAGTTGAAATGCTGCTTTCAACACTAAACTTGTACAGCACCAACAATTGGCAACATGCATGTCATGTATGCATAGGAAAGAGGATCACGAGGGGAAAAGGTCTTCTACATGTAGCTTTTCATTCTGTGTGTGATTATTGTGAGGTTTTGTGTGAAATTTTAATTTTCGGCTATCACATTTCGTTAATTTCTTACTTTTTAGACGGGGTCCATGGACTAGAACACAATAACTTTTTTTAGAAAACTGCCATAAAGCAGTTTTTATTGCTATAATTTCTTTTGTTTTTTCTGTCACCAATCAATGGAATGCCCTATATTATTATTATTATTATTTATTCATATTTTCAATATGTAAATGATGGCCTTCACATCATATCAATACTATGTTATACGCATTGATGTGCAAGCCTTTTCTTGCAGAAAATGGCACTAGCATAATGCATGTTCTTCTGCGGGGAAACATGTGAGCAGTGGCGGTGATACTTTTTTTATACGGAGGTCATTCTGTGCATGTTGCTGTTGCAGAATTTCATGACTCTGTCATAAAATTGTTTTGCCTTTCAGATATTTCAGATTTCTCCACCCTCAATCAGATTTATTTGAGAAATGTAGCCATGCGCCAGGTGCGTGTCGCAGATGTTTTTGTTGATTCTGTGTTTATAATGGTTTATAGTCATGGGTTATCGTGATAAGGTCATCCAGCATCATATTGAAACTGAAATCGTAACCATGTTGATGTCGATACAACTTTTGGAAGTAGTTCAATGACTTCAAACTGTTAATCCACGATTGTCTAAAACAACACAGCAAAGGAGGAACAATAAACATGTATTAAAATGTAAACGAATACATTGCTGAGTCCAAAACCTCGTTCCAACAACTACACTGATCCTGAGGAGAAAAGGGGGCAAGGCTATGGTTGGAGGTACTGAGAGATAAACAAGGCACTCCACAATAATAAAATCTTACACATCTTTTGGTGAGTATGAATGATATCCAGTCGAACCTCTTTAGGACGAACACCAAGGGACCGATGGTATTTATTCTGTGAGCTTAACCTATTTTATAACCAGAGAATACAATTATATCTCCAATAGACATACGAATAGATTTCTTCTACAGCGAAAGATTCTAAGCCACACCGACTCATTGACTCGTCTCGTATGAAACAATTGAGTCACTAGAGAGATTCTGCCAAACGAAAATGCGTACAAACTTTCGCTCTACATCATGAAATGCGAAACTTGCAGGGAACGCAAAATGAACTGTCGTAGGAAATTTCGTGAGATCGGGTCATGGCGTAAGTGCACTTGGCCCGCGCAAACTACGAAAATGTGCAGAACGCAAAGTTCGTGCTAAAATTCGCACACACTTTCGCAAGGACTGTCGCGAAACTTCGGTCGAATTTTCGTTTTGCAGAACCTCTCTACTGATAGTCCGCAGTCCAGGGTGCAGAATTGTGACTTTTCGTTCGCCACGAAAGGGCACCAAGGTTTGACATGACCAAATGAAAGAGCAAGAGCAGGGCTTTCCAGGCATGTGTCTCTTGATTAGCTGTGTTGGGGCTTAGTTGACCAAATCGCGACAATTGTTTTTCTATGCGTTGCCATGGCAACCGGATTATGAATTTGAATTTTGAGGCTATTGCAAGCATCATAGCGATGTTTGTGAACTTTATTCGAGCCACGGAGGCTGAGGAGAGCCAGCATGCGAAATTTTACTGAATTTGGATGAAGTATAGGCATGTGGAGAGGAGAAATAGTACTGCACAGTATGACGCAACATGCGACACAGTTGTCATGTCATGTACTACCTTGCAGTGTGCACCTACAACCACACTATCGCATAACGGATGCGTTCAAGGCAATAATACTAATAATTATATGTTCTAGAATTACATGTGGCAACAAAATACACAAAGGAAACCTGATGAGACGAGTTAATTAATTACATGTATAGAGACTGATATGAGAAAACCCGTGCCAAGCACACTGGAGTCGGCCTTAGAAGGAGTGCATTTACTTCAAGTGCAAGTCAACGTAATGGTTTACAACAATGCAGTGGCTGAAAATGCAGTGTGTGTGTGTGTCAGCACCTAAACATTAGGAAATGCGGCATCAAATTTGTTTCGAACTAGGGAAATAGTTCCGCAAAATATTAGACAATGCTGATAGTTAACCTCTGTGTATATTGCGACCCAAAGACCAGGTATGGTCAAACAAAGGGAATGAACTATTTTTAACTGTACTTACGCAGCGGACACGACAACACCAGGGGCATACGAAGGGGTGTTTGGGGGCACCCCCCCCCCCCCCCCAAAACCGAATTCGATCTTGGTTTGCAGCTCGTTCAAGAAAGACCATAACGCGCGGACCATAACTCTACACATCGCACACTGTAGCCATCCCCGTTCGGACTTACGTGGTTTTTTTTAAAATCTGAAACCAATCTACGCGTTCTTACTTGCACTTGACTATTTCGTCGGATGATTGGCCATTTTGGAATGGTTAGTACGGTCCACAGTGCGGCACGTCATCCTTATAATGTACATCATCCGCTTTGAATGTCTTGTTTTATGCCGTTATGTTCTCCACATGTTTCTCCGTAGAGCCGTTGTGTTTATGGTAACAAAATATACCATGTGACGTTCATCCACTGTCCGTAGACGGATCAATTATTATTTGCCGAAGGCAAAGAGCGGAATACACAGACTGAAGAACGAGCAGTTGCGGTTTCGTAACTCTCAGTTTTACGAACTAAATCGATCAGCAGACGAAGATTGATACTGACCCTGCCCTGAGAGTACTGATATTATACCATGAATGTGGCAAGCGCAGCGGACTTAGTATTAGTAGCACTCTCAGGCCAAGGTCAGTATCAATGTTCGTCTGATCGGATTGATTCAGTTCATGAAACTCAGAGTTACGAAGCAGCAACTGCACGTTCCTCTGTCTGTGTAATAACAAAATATATAAATATCGGCCGACATGAAAGGACCACAATGAAGGCATGCTCTTTTGTGAGGGAACGTTGAGGAAACCACCTTGATCACTATCCTGGCTACGCCCCTGAACACAGTCATCAAGTAGTTCACTGCCTACAGCAGAGAAGAAATCATCCTCCGAGGAATTCGATGAGACAGTGAGGTCTGCAATATGCGTCTTTTGTCTGCTTGCTACAATCCTAGCGAGAGTATCTGCATAAGTGCACGAATGATAGCCAGACTTATGGTAGTGTGCCTCTCTAGCGATCAGATTTGCTGAACTGATTGCTGCCATAATCCTTTGATCTTGTCGTGTGGCAGCAGCGTTCCGCAATTATTTCTTTTCTGCTTCCACTGTCACGAGTTGAGATGTCGCCTGCTTGGTTGTACAGCTCGCTTATTTGTTTCAGCGTGCCACAAAACAGGCATATTTTTTCTTCTGGCTCAACAACAGGGGCTCGTAGCGATTGATGAGTCCTGTCCATCGAACTGCGGACTCCTCGGATGCCGTGCAGGCTGTCAGAATATTTGGCACTTGGCATTGCGTGAATACACTTCAGAGTTCTATTCGTTTCGGGTTCCGGTACAGAGGAGATAGCACCATGTACCAGGCCGGCCAGCACTCGGCAGGAGCTCATCACTGCAGTTGGTATTGCCAAAATACGTGAAACCATGGCATAGGCGAGGCACACCCGATCGACCTAGAACCTAAATACTACAGAGTACCGTGCAGGAATACGTTTTTACATCTGAAGCGCACCACGTGGCACTCCAAGTGTGCGAGATTTCAAATTTGAACTTTTGAGTGGGTTTGATGCATGCTCAAACTTACGCTCCGCGAAGCTTGTGCATGGATTTGCCCCGAAGAAATTCGCCTCTATCGAGAGAGCGCCCCAGATCTAGAAGCAGTTCTCGACTGTTTTGGGTACCTCAAGGGGTCTTCTTTCAGGCCCCCACATCAAACCTTGGTGCCCCGTCGTGGCGAACGGAATTTTTTTAGGGCTATATTTTGAGCACTTGGACTGCGGACTATGAACCTTTCTTTAGCAACATGACGGCAACTGAAACAGCAACAGAGAAAGTACGATACATGTACTCCACATTCTTACAGGTACTACAAACAGATTGCAGATCGTAATTCTTGCTTTGGCGGCACGAAACTTTATTTGAGGCAGTGCAATCTCGGCGGTACTCACAAATCAAACAGCCCAGACTTGAGCAAACAAATCCAATCATAAAAGTACGAGATTTTCACGAGACGAGACTGCACCCATTGGCTTGTTTCGTATGAAACAAACAAGTTACTGAACGTCTCCACAATAGAGATTTCCCCTGATATGCGAATATATTTTGCAAACTCGGTCAATTGG